AGTTGTCCCTGCGTCCTACGTCGCCTGTGTCCACTGAACCGCCCATCTCGAACACCCCTGAGCCGCCCGAGCCGCGCGTCTGGCGGCGCGGTGCGTGACCGAGCTGTCTGTGTGCAGCGACGAGGCGAGCTGCGACTGGGACGAGCAGTTGGACCGCGAGATGGCGACTCGGACCTGCAGCTGGTCACCAGCTCTGCCGACGCGGTGAGAGGCCCGCCGACCGCCGCCGTTCGCCAGACACGCTCCGTCCGCAGACGGTCTCACGTCAGGCATACCCGCCGGGCTCGTGCACATCCCGGGGCAAACTCGTTCGACATGACGGGTGGGTCTCAGCACACATCCAACGTCAGACAGCTCCCACATCAGAAACTCGTAACGGTGGACACGTCACACGGCCCGCACACCCCGCACGGGAACCTACCCTATGGTAGAACTCATCCCACGGCGCATGCCTGTCTCAGAATGGACACACTCTCCAATGACCGACAAGGCCCAGAGCAGAGACGGCTGCGGGAAGACGTGTGTCGCAACAGGCCCACCTCCCGTGATGAGCGTCACCTCACGGCAGACGCGTCCCACACGGCACCTGCGTCCGCGTGCGGCCACGTAGTGCGTGTGACCCCTCGGCCGTGACCTGACGTGACCTGTGGCCGGCCGCAGTGCCGGCGGGCCTGCGAAACGGCCGCCGTGTTCAACTGCCGGTCGTTCACCTTCACGCCGAGCCGCTCCCTCTGTCGGCTGTCGGCGGAGGACACCCTCTCGGCCGGACCGCTGGCGCTGGCTCAGAACGCCGCCGCCATCTTCTACCAGCGCGGCCCCTGCCTGGACCGTGAGTGACGCTGCTGCGTGTCGAGGAACGGCGGGCGGACGGCTCTGCGCCGGAGAGGGCGAGCTCGGGGAGTGCTCATTGACGAAATCACATCGCACACTGCCATAGTGACGTCACGCTGCAGCAGAGGCCCTGCGAGCCGCTGACCTTCCACTATCCGTCTCCAGTGGAGCTGGTATGCGCCGTGGACCGGATGACGGTGCGCCTCCGCACCGAGGAGCCGTCACCGGCCGTATATCTTCGCGCTGGACGCGCCCACCTCGTGCGAGGTTCGCGGCACCGGCCAGCGCACCACCGAAGCCACATTTTACTACGCCGACGTAAGTTACACCAAATGAACTTAACAGGAGCGAGCACACTAACATTCCAGATAGGAAACGAACACGCAAGGCGCCACAGTTCTGTGAGGGACGAGCCAATACGACCGCTTTGCGGTCATTGGGAGACATACAGAATGAAATACCGTCACATGTTTCTCTCCACGAAACCAAATCTGAACGCTAGCTCACGTCCAGCACCCGGACACTACCTTATCCCCGAGACACTATCTTAACAGCGACCACAACAGTCGTTGCCATGAAGCCGAGCCGGTGACTGGGTGCGCTCTGGCAGGGTCGATGCGGCGTGGTGCGCGAGACGGCCCAGTCGTACACGGCGCTGGTGGTGATCCAGCTGCACGCGCTCATTCAGCGCCGCGGCGACCGCGCTACCAAGCTGCTCTGCACGTACGACACGGCCGAGAAGACCATCAGCACCGGACTGGACCTGCTCGTGGAGTAAGTTCAGGCGTCCGTTCAGGCGCACGAGGGGGGCCCGCAAATCTAGCGTAATTTGCGAGCATCATGGAACAGAACTGGCCAGCAACAGGAGATAACACCGTTTGTTCTCACGCCGTAGCTGGGCCCGCCATGTTCACCACCCCATGCGCCCTCCCCACTAGTGGTATTCACCATCCCGTGCGCACCCTCACCCGCCGTGCGTGACCACCAGCCGAATCGAACGCCGCCGTGGTCACCGCCACGGTGAACGCCACGGCCGCCCACGCCGCGCGTCTCGCTGCACGTGCGGGACACCAGCGGCGCCGACGTCAGCGGCACAGCACTCGGCGAGCCGCTCTTCCTCTCGCTGGAGCTGGACCACACCAGTGAGTAGTCGGCGCCGGGCGAGCCGCTATTCCTCTCGCTGGAGCTGGACCACACCAGTGAGTAGCCAGCGCTCGGCGAACCCGCTCTTCCTCTCGGTGGAGCTGGACTACACCAGTTAGTAGCCGGCGCTCGGCGAGGCGCTCTTCCTCTCGCTGGAGCTGGACCACACCAGTGAGTGGCCGGCGCTCGGCGAGCCGCTCTTCCTCTCGCTGGAGCTGGACCACACCAGTGAGCAGTCGGCGCCGGGCGAGCCGCTTTTCCTCTCGCTGGAGCCGGACCACACCAGTGAGTAGTCGGCGCTCGGCGAACCGCTCTTCCCCTCGCTGGAGCTGGGCCACACCAGTGAGTGGCCGCCGCTCGGCGACACGCCGCATTCGTTGCGTGGTGGGAAGGCTAGCGTCACGCCTCTCGAGGGGATGCACTCACTTGTGAGATGACCCCATTAATCGGAACCCTGCTTCACACCAGTTCTGCTCTTTATGTATAACCCCCCTTAAGCATTACATCACAACGAAGCCGCGTACCAGCTCTCATAACGTTTGCCACAGGCATTTTCGGCATGTTCGCCCGTAACCTGGTGGCAAGAGGCGGCAGCTCGGGCGAGTCCATTGTTCTGCTGGACGAGAGGGGATGTCCGACGGAGACGTCCGTGTTCGGCGGCTTCACCGCCGAGTCGGAGGATCGGACCACCATCACCGCTCCCTTCGAGGCGTTCAAGTTCTCCGAGGACCCCGTGGTCCGGTTCCAGGTCACCGTGCAGTTCTGCCTGGACAGCTGCAGACCGGTCAGTACCCTGCACTCCTGCGGCCCGTATAGCAGCCACAAGCAGAAACTGCGCCAACGTCGCCGCTCTGCTCGCAGCGCCGCGCATGTGGGGATCATCATGAGGGCAACGCATGGCGCCCTTCATTGATAGGGTCCAATGAACAATATCGCTCCAGGTAATTTCTTCTACACAGCTGAGGTATACCGGTGTAATAATGCGCCCACATTGTACGTTAATCTCGGGCAAAAACTCTGGAAGCAGCAAAAAAGCAAAACGAAAATAACGAGATTCTACACGAGCGTCTCACATAGGCTTAGATGTCATATCCAAAGACGGCGCATGCTACAAGTATCCGCAAGGATAAGCCACGTGGGAAGCCGAGCGGTGGCGTGACATACCCGTAAGCCTTTCGACGGTCCTTTCCACGGGCGAGGCGTCAAATTCCGGACAGAAATGTGCCATCCTGAGTCCTAAGTGCCATCGGCTACCACGCAAGGCGCTGCCCGTGCACGAAACTATTTGAAATGTGAACAAACGTGCAAAGGAATGTCGCGCATCACTTGACGTTAAACCTTACATATCGTGAGCTGGTGCCCCGGCGTCCCACCGCAGCCCGACATGGTCTATCCCTTCTCACGGCAGGCCCAGTGTGGCTCAGAACGGCGGCACCGGCGAGCCGCGCCCCGCCTCGACCCCATCACGCATCAGCGAACCGTCCGCGAGGAGGCGCCACTGCAGCGCGAGATCTTCGTGGACGGCGGCCGGGTGCGTCGGCTGCCGCCGTCGGCGCTGCCGACCGGCACCGCGGTGTCGCCGGCCGGCGCCGGGGTGCCGCCGGAGGAGTTGGTCTGCGCGCGCAGCGCGGCCGTGGTCGGCGGCGTCGCGGCCTTTACCATTGTCCAGGTCAGTGTCGGCGCCAGGACGGACCGCAACTGGATAGTCGTTGCCCACTCGGGCGCTGGAAGCATCGCAGTGTACTGTGATGACTTGAATCACGTCATGTCCGATTTCTCAAGTGTTCTTAGCTGAGCCACCCACAGTACCGAATGCCATTACTGTGGACCGCTGAGCAGATAACATCGACGCAAAATTCTGACCGCATCGAATCAACGCTTTTTGCGTGGGCTTGTTTTTGTCTGAAAGGTTCAGCTGAAGCAGCTGAGCCACGCGTCCGTTTGCTCAGATGTTCACATGTTTGTCCGCGACCCCATGCGCGAGCTCCGGCTGACCGCCGTGTGTCACCGCTCTACCGCGCAGGCTTGCCTGGCGTTGATCTGCGTGGCCTGCGTGTACCAGCGGCGCCAGCAGCGGCTGCGCTCCGAGCTGCCCTCCAGCTCGACGCTGTACAGCAGCCAGGGTCGCCTGAGCTCGGCGGCCGGCCGGGCCGAGCCGGCGCACCTCTCCACCCTACGCCGGCTGCGGGCCGTCACGCTCCGCCGCTGACGTCACGTCACGTCACGCTCCGTCGCTGACGCCGCGCCCCCACCGGCTGCTGCCGCTGACGGTGCTGCAGTGGAGAAGACGGACGGCTTCAACGAGCTAAGGATCGCAAGAGCCGTTCCTCCCTTTCGGGACTGCACGCTTCTATGCAACAAAGCAGCGTCGTGCAGGACTTGTTTCCACAAATCGATGCGACTGGCGTTAAGGTCGACCGCGTCTGACCGGTGGCCTTCTGTCCGCACCGATCACGCGGTACGTGCGCAGCAATGCGGATAAAGGGCCGACTACGAGTACGCCGTGAGCGAGTCGCAAAGACAATCCTGTGGCGGGGACTCGTGCGTCTCCCCAAGTAAGGTCCAGCCGCCAAGCTGGGGCCGGCTCGTGGGGCCCGGTCCAGACTGCCCGAGACGTGACGCCGACCGCCCAGCAGGTCAGGGCCGGCTGCTCCCTTCACCGCGACCGCGGCCCGCTGCGGCCGCCCGGCCTGACCTGACCCAGCCGAGCCGGTGTGGAAGGCAGCGGCCTGGCCCACCGTTCCCGTGCAGTAGGAAAAATCATAACGTGATCAAACTGGTGCGAATGTTGCTGTGCCCCGTAATGCACTAAGATTACGCAATCGTGCGCTATCTGTCATGTGTACCGTCACGCATCACTACGTCATAAGCGCGTCCTTTTGTATGGGTCTGGCGAGAAGGCAAAAACCCTTCGTCGCCCAAAAACCTAGCGAACGTCGGGTGGTGATTAGCGTTGCATCGAGCATTTACACCCATATTTCACAGTCATAAAATGTGTGGAATGCAAACTAAGCGTGTTCCGTTCGGCTCATGACATGACGTACCTGCCCAGCAGGCCATCTCGGCGTCACTTCACCTTGTATTGTACAAAAATCCCAAGAATCCGGTTCCCCGTGTCTCAGACACCTTCCATTCCGCTCGCCTCAAACGACGTCCCGCCGACAGCACTGGAGCAGGCCTTCCCAACACCCTCAATGTGCAGAGATCTGTGCTTCCCCATGCCCTCAACTCCTTCTCAAAAGCTGAGACCTCCGGAAAGCAGCACGGTCTTGCCTCGCTTGCCCTTTCTCCCCTTGGGCTTGGCGTCGGAGGAGGCACCTGCAACGAGGACTACAGTAAGGCCCAAAAGGGCTCTGTACTGAGGCTGTGTCACGACAGCACTGCATACTACCTGGAGCCAATGTCATATGCTCCCAGGGAGTTAGCGTATATTTTACTCGACATCCTCGGCCAGAGTAAAAAATTTAAAAGAAGGCCTCAAGAAGGCACAGAGTAACATACCAATCGCCTAAGGTGGGCTGAAACCACGGGTGAGGCAGGTGGAAAATGAGTGGCTGCAATTAACTAACACAAACCAAAAATAATCAAGACCTTAATGATAATACATCAGACAAAGAAGCATATATAGATAGGGCCGCATTCAAAACATCAGTCTTACAGCAGCTCTGTCAATTGTAAGAATGTGAGCCAAATCCTGCTTACTGCAGGTCCAGCTGCTGTGGTTTGAGAGCACAGGACACTGACCGTCGCTGCTCCGGCCCTGGTCGACCTTCTCCAGGGCAGCAGCCAGGTCAGCTGACCAGCTGTCATTATAGTTGGGCACCTCGCCCGTCCCGTCCAGCCGCACGTCACTGGCTGGCATGGTGTATGCCTTGGACGTGGTGGCCGGCCGGGCGGCGCTGGGCCAGGCGCTGGTTCGTGGCGCCCCCTCGGTGCGCAGCACCCGGCTCTCAGAGGTGGGCTGTGGGGCACACTCCACCGGCGTGCCCGCTGCATTGCCTGACTCAGCCAGCTTGGTGGCTCCTTCCTCAGTATGGGATGACACTGACAATGCCAGTCAGGTAAGTCTGTGCTTATCCTGGGGGCAAGGCACTGGCTCACCAATCACCATGCACAGCTGTTGCCACTTGGCATGCACAGCTTTTGGACAATAAAATGATCATAACTTTTGACTAGTGCTGCTTGCTGACTTCGAAAGTGAAACAGCATACACCAAAATAAAGTGGCAGTCTGGAAATACAGCATTGACAAACTAGGTGGCCAACATGTAGCATTACTAACATCCATACAGAATCAGTGATAGCTTTTGACTGTGACCCAGCCAACAGGTGTAAGAGGATTGTGCTGGAGCCTCACCAAGCCCCCATTATGATGAACCAAATGTTAGTATTACATGTGCATGAACTAAAACTACCCTTGCTTAGAAACATGATTTTCTAGCTAACAGCACATGAAGAAATGGATGAAATTTGAGAAAAGAGGCAATGCAAATTTCATGGAAATGAATAACAAAAAGCCAAGACACTTAGGAAATGTTACCTTTAAAAATCAGAAGTCAGAAAACCAGAGGAGTAGCCAGAACAATAACCCAATAATAAGTTACACCAGCTCTTCACACAACAGTGAGGGAAGCAGCGACTTTGCACAACTGTGACAATATGCTGGATATCATCCATTGGTACAGAATTTCACGGCTTAGCTGACCTTGATCAGGATAAAGCTATATCTTTCCAATCAAGACTGTAACCTATATCAAACATGAGGCTTGACAAGATCTGATGCCACCACACTAATAGACAAAATTCCAAAACACTAGCTAGTGGTGCTGCCATGACTGCCAGGGCATGAGAATACAATTACCTCCTCGCACGTTAAACCGGCGGCAGCTTCGCAGCTATGTCTGTTAGCTGGCAGCTAGGACCTTAGCGCCGGCTACCACCAGGTGGCGGACGACCGTCGGCCAGCGATGCGGCGGCAAGGTGCACCCGAGCAGGCGCGGAATGTCAATGAAGAAACGCCGCGTACATCAAATGCTTACCACCAACGTAAAATCTGAATAGGGGCCAGAAAGAAAAAATTGCTTCCGCAACACCGACTGCGACCATCTTACCATCTCCTTCCAGTCTAAATGAACACTTCAAAACACGGTGGGAGCTGCAGCACCTGAGCTCTTGCACAAGCGGTCTGGGCGGCTGAGGGCCGGCCGGCCAAAAATTGCCCGCAGTCCAGCAACAGACCTCTCGATAAGTTAGACGTTGGACTTAGATGGGCTTACATTGAATGTGGCTTTCCCTCCAACCATTTATGACTGGTTATCCCTCGTTTCCTTTCTTTGTTGAACACTCCCATCTGATTGCGATTTCAACGCTCGTGGCTGATGAGTATGCTGCAACGGATTAAGGCCTCGCCCGTGACGTCCGGTCCCATCTTCGGCACGTCGTGGTCGGCTTCGCCCCCCCCCCCCCCTTAGACGGACGGATGAGCCTACGTGTTCTGGCGACCTCGAATTACGGCGCTGATCTTCCAACGACTGATGTCGATCTGGGGGTGCATCAGCGCTGGCGGGTCCGGCCCCTGACGAGTTGTGATGGACTGCACGCTATCCTACACCCGAGTGCATGCAGTGGGCGCTTGCGGGCGTCTTCGAGCTCTACCTGCGTGCGCTCCGGCGATCGCCGGCTGCTGTCGCCAGTTGGGGCACAGAATGGTCAGCACGGTGCCCGGTATCTCACCGGGTCTGCGGTCGTCGCTGCGCGCCGGTGGACCAGGCCTTCGGTTCGGGACCTTGGCTGTGTTGCGATCGTGCCGCAGTGAATATGGTGTTGAGCAAGGGCAAGACTCCTCGCTCAGGAAGGGGTACAGAGATTTTTGTTGTGTTCGAAGATAAAGTGTTGTGTTTGTTAACTGGAGTGCCCGTTCAACAGAGGTGTTCATGGGTAACACCGGAGGGGGGGGGGGGGGGGGAGGGTGTTGCGTGATAAACGGTTGCGTTTGCGCGCTCCGTAGATGGCACCCGTAAAAGGACGATAGATGGTGCAGCGACAATGACTACCGGCAAGTGGCGCCGCCTCGCTGTGCGGCCGTTAGTGTAGTTAAGTGAACCCTTTTGCTTCTGGGTCAGATGATGTGGCGAGTGGCGTGAGGTTTGGCGCACGCCGCTGGAAGTCGCCTGTTTCGTCCACGGCAGTAGCCGTAACAGCTTTGAAAATAGCAAGCATGTAAGAGAAAGTAAAAATGTCCTAAAGTCATTTTTCCGCTGTCGATGACACCCAAAATCACCGGCCGATTTGAAAACTATAAGCATCGTCCGTCAAAAAATCCTGACACCTTGAGGTCACCCTTCAAGGCCAAACACGAGCCAAAGGACGGGGACTCAATATCACCCGAAACTTACCGGCCCATTTTCAACTTACAAACATCAGAATATTTACAACAGAAAAAAGTGTCCGTCAGAAAGTCCTGACCTCTCAAGGTCATCCTTCAAGGTCAGACGCGAACTCAAAGGACGGGAAACGCGATAGCACCCAAAAATTACCAACTGATTGGATAACTATAAGCATGAAAATATTCACAAGCTCAAGAGCTAGCTAGAAGTTAGAGTTAGAGCTAGAGCTAGACCTAGAAGTTCCCCGTGCTTTGAGCCCATGTTTGATGTTGAAACGTGACCTTGAGATGTCAGGACCTTCTGACGGACGTTAGTTCTTTCTGTGGTGAATATTCTGATGCTTGTAAGTGGAAAGTCGGCCGGTAATTTTTGGGTGATATGGAGTTCCTTGTCCTGTGAGCACGTGTTTGAACTTGGAGGGTGACCTTAAGAGATCATAACTTTTTGACGCACGCTAGCTCTTTGTGTGTTGGAAGTTCTGACATTTGCAAGCTGAAAAGCGGTCGGTAATTTTTGGATGATCTTGAGTTCCCCGTCCTTTGAGCCCGTGATTGGCCCTGAAGATTGACCTTGAGGGGTCAGGACTTTGTAACGGAGGCTTGTTCTTTCTGTGGTGAATATTCTGACATTTGCAACTTGAAAATCGACCGGTGTTTTTGGGTGATATCGAGTTTCCCGTCATTTGACCCAGCCTTTGACCCTGAAGGTCACATGATATTGCAAAATAATGATCATTTTTTGGTGTTCTCATGCCACAATTGGGCTCACGACACTCGTTCAGAGATACCAGAAATCGTCGCTGAAAAAAATGCAGAATAAATTGCTAACTTCACGGACATCACCAATGCTCCGCAGATTACGGAAACTGCAACGCCTGGTGTCGAGGTTTTTGTTGCTAAGATTTGCGAGCGCGCATGGTAAAAAATGGCGTTACATAAAATGAATCACTGGTCGACTCTGCCCGAATGTTAAATATTTTCAGACAAACAAGGCTCGGTCATGTTCATACACATTGTTGACCACTCGATCTACAATCAGATTTTCATCTTCAAATTTGGATCAAACATATCGATCTGCCATCGACCTTCGCGATGTTCTTAATATCTGTGGAAACCAGATAAAACGTTTGACGAATCTTCTGAATTACATCGATATAAGAAGAGCCCACTAAACCATTGTATATTATGGGCAACGGTGATTTATTTCATAAGGTGGCTCAACGCTTGATTTCTGCAGTTTATTTACTTCAAAATACAAACAGAATTGATTGATTTCACACTAGGTTCTGGTTTCTGTTCTGGTTGCAAGGTAAAAAATAATGAAACGAGGAAAGCCGCATCTCTTTTTTACAGGCAAGCTATATCCGGGGGTTTTAGGGGGTCACCATAAGAGAAGCTTTTGTCAACGTTGTGCTCCCCTTAGCAAGGTTTTGGCTACGCCCCTGCCTACATACAAAAGCAGATCAAGTCGTCTACTTTGAATGATAGGCAATCAAATGTCTGTTGGGCCAATTCATACCTAAGGCAAGCAGCTTGCCGGGGCTTTTTCTGGGGTGCTGTGGTGTGAGGGAAGATAATTCGGAAAAAGATTCTGTTGCAGGAGTCCAACATGTTTACACACCAATAAGTAGCAATGCTGACCTAGAAATATGCAACAAAGCAGCCGTACGATCAGTTTTCAATCAGTCATGCGGAATACAGCCGGGCTTGGGGGAGCGGCCGCCAACGGAGGACGGAAGCAGGGTTCAGATAAGAAATATATGGCAGAAAGGCCCTCATCATGTGGCTTAGTTTTTAAAGGAGAATCTCCAGTTTTATAGCTTTTGTCACATTGCTTTTGGCAGTTTCAAGCTTTCCAACTGGTTTCCGCCTGAAATGCTGCGACAATCCTTACATCTTGAAAAGCGGCCAGCGAAATGAAGGCGCATAAAAAAATCTGCTGCACTGTGAGCCATCGATGCATTTCAAAACTATCACCAGGCTATGTCCGGGCCGTATTTTGGCATCTACCCTGTGAGGGCAAAGGCCTCCTCAATGACCCAAAATGCCTACCCCCTCGTAGAAGTTCGCGTCCCCAGGAAAGGCAATGTTGAAATGGACGAATAGTATTGGAAAGCTGGATAACCTTATTTACCGAATGACAGATGAATCGAATGGACAAGATTGCGCACTAGCGAGAAACAGATCCAGATGCGATCTAGCACAGCAGCCGTACCATTTAAATACAGAGCGATAACAACGTACATCTCTAACCCCCCCCCCCCCCCTCCCGGTCGTCGGACTTGCTTTCCAGAAAAAAGTTTCGGAAGTGCACCCTGAGTTTGGCCGCTCCACTTTTTGAAACGTTCTTACACCTATGATATACCACAGCTACTAAGGATGCGTTCGGCAGATAATCTCGGAAAATTATCCGGAATGTTGGACAATTTTCCTGAATGGCGTTCGGCACTGCCGTCACGGAAAATTATCCCAGATAATTATCCGTAGCGAGGGAGAATCACGGAGAATTTCGTAGCATGGTCAACACGGAGAATCTGTTTTCGCAATGCATAGCTATGGCCGTTGGCTGTGGATGGCGCATGGAAGACTAATCTGGAGGATATTTTCCAGACCGGCCCAATAAAAATGGACAACCTCCGCAGAGGATTATCGAAGAGATAGCTATTTGTTGAATAATTTTCCCTTGGCCGAACGCGCCCTAAATCCGCAGGTTATGTGAACCTGGCAACCAGTGATATACCCGCGGATAACTAGATTTTCTTCTGGATACGGCGTTTTATCGGCTGAATTGCTGGGCATGTGCAGCTTTCCTAAATGGCATGGCCTTCTACGAAAAATTAATTCAATACGATGCAAGAACTTAGTGTATGCTGTGAAATATTGAATGACTTTTGCTATTTGAATGCATAACAAAGGTAAACCAGAGCAATTTGGTAGATATTTCTGATGTATGCCAAACATTTCAGTAGTGCTAAATCTGATACCTCTACAAAATCCACCGTTGTTGTTGGTGCCGCGGTTAAGGGCAGGGGTCTCCACAATCTTATGGCATGGGAAGGCTCGTGGAATAAAGTTTAAGGCGTGAAATGTCCTCATTTTGGCTGATTCACATCCCCAAAGATTTTCTGTGCAGAGTCTTGTCGCCATGCACCGTGAAACAAGAATACGACGGGCACCGCCTCATTATTATTTTTCAGTAAAATCAAGACAAGAACACGCGCAGTCAGGGGCGGATCCAGAGGTGGTGGCCGCGAGGTCGTGTCCCCCTCCCCCCCCTGGGCCCCGAAGATGCCCATAGGCACCAATGAGGCCCATAGTCGACCGGACAGACGCAGTTTTTTAAACACAAAACTCAACAAAATTAAACATTTTTGGATTTCCAGACCACCGAGAACAGTTGCAAGCGAAAGTAATGGGCCAACGAGAAGAGAAAAAAATCTTCAGTGATTGAAAAAGCTGCTAATTGGGAATTTTAAGCCTTATTGTGCATAAGTTTGCGCAGGATTGAACTCTAT